GGGCATCTCTGCTGCCTTTGTCCCATAGGCTTTAGGATACATCCGGACCACAGAAGGAATACAAAAGACCTTTGAAAAAAATACTGAGTACTGAGTGATGTGTTGGAAGTAAACAGTTAAAAACATTTATTCAAAATCTAGAGAGGAAGAGGCCAGTGCAGCTGTCACTATTGCAAAACTCCAAACAGACAAAAAAGATGGAGAACAGGTCTCAGCATAACAAAACTGGAAGTGCCATTAGCCCTAATTCTCAGTGTAGTTCTAGCTGATTTCTGTAAATCCTGTAACTTCAGTTGACTTGATGTATTCCATTTCTACAATATATTCTCTATAGGTATCAGTTTGTGTTAAGCTAAAAATGAGTATGAGGCCTTAGTAGATGTTTCCTGTTTGACACCCAGAAACTTTTGTATTTTCAACTTTCTACGCAAATATTCTTTCTTCACTTTCTTCTTCCTTTTTTCCCCATCTTTTCAAGGTGTCCTTGTGAATACCATTTTAAAGAGTATTAAACAAGCTGCTAATTCTTCAAGAGAAAGAAAAATGGAGGTCTATTCTGCAGTGAGTATCTTCGTTTTTGACAAATGTTGCTATGATGTTACTAGTAAAAGACCCCAAAAGAGAATAATCAGATTGTTCCTGTAAGTTAAACAAAAAGGATAACATAATTCAGTTCAATTCAGCAAATAACGTGAATACAAGACAATAGAAGAGAACAGCAGGACCACGGGTTGCACCTCAATTTCAGTCAAACTGTACTTGGTAAAGATATCTATGCATTTTAGCATATATTTTTCTGCAGCTTACAGATGCAGTTTCTTTATGTTAAGTGCTCCTAGCCTAGAGTTGCTGGCACACAGCAGAACTTCAGCTGCACATCCAAACCCTTCTTCTGCTTAGAAAGGCATGGTACAACTAAGGATTTTTTCTTCATTTTAGAGGATGAAGAGAGCCATTTGGGTCAGACTAAGATCTGCTTAGCTCAATCATTATCCTGTCTCTGATAATGGCCAACAGCAGGGAAGAGTGTAAGAGTAAAGCCTGCACAGAGTGATGCTTCCCTTGATACATTCTTCCAGCAATCTATGCCTTAGGGACTTCCTGGGACAGAATCTGTGTCTGTGTGTTTAATAGCCCTTGATAGACTTTCTTCCACCAATTTATGTAATCACTTTTTTACTGCATTTGTACTTTCAGCCTCTGCAGCATCCTGTGGCAATGACTTCTAAACCTTACGTGTTAAAAGAAAGAAGTACTTCCTTCTGGCTTTTTTTGAAACTTACTACTTATTTAGTTCCCTCATAGCACACGTGCTGTGAAAAACAGAGGACAGTCATTCTTTTTTCACTTTTCCTGTGTCACTCACGAATTTACAATTTTCTGCCACACCTCTTCCATCTTTTCTTTTCCAAGATGGAGTCCTAACCTATTTAATATTTCCTTTTATAAAAACTGATCAATATATTAAATCTTTCTTGCTGCCTTTTCTGTACGTTTCCTACCTCTACTATATTCTTCTTGAGAAGGAAAAACAAGAGTGCCCTGAATTTAAACTAGGCTTTAAACTAGGAAAGATGGGGGAAAGGCAGTGGTATAGTGACATGGTACTCAGTAAAACTCAAGTCAGGATGCCTACAGCGGGTGCATACAGCCAGGGGAGACAGCATGCAACATGGCTATGGAGGATCCTCTTCAACCTCTCCTGGGAAGCTTGCATGCTTGACTGGCTCTCTGAAATGACAGTACACCAATGCATGCAGCACAGGGAATAAGCAGGAAGAATTAGAGATCTGTGTGCGGTCGCAGGGCCACGATCTCATTGCAGTGACAGAGACATGGTGGGATAGTTCACATGACTGGAATGCTGTCATGGATGGCTATGTGCTTTTTAGGAAAGACAGGCCAGGAAGGTGAGGTGGTGGAGTTGCTCTTTATGTGAGGGAGCAACTAGAATGTATGGAGCTCTGCCTAGGGGTGGATGAAGAGCAAGCTGAGAGTAACAGCTTGGTGGAATGATAGGTACATGACACCACATGTCCTCCCTCTCCGAAAGGTTGCTCCTTCATGATCCCTCCAGAATGACTTCAGTAGAGTGGAATGGGAAACTCGCTTGGGTTAGAGCTAAGAGGTAGATGCTGGAGCAGGACTAATTGCACCCATAAAGACCTCACAGGAGCGCAAACAGAGCATCCGGCACACTCTCTAGGCAGACTCCAAAAATGCTGGGGGAGGGATGCCTTATCAGATTTCTTTTTTTGTTTTGTTTTGTTTTACAAATCTATGTTTTCAAAGTTGCAAAATAAAGCAAAGCCCAGCAAAGGTCCCCATGCTAACACCCTTTTAATACCTTTAACACCTTGCCACAATTGGCAGACGGGCATTGTGTGTAGGGCTGTTCCTATCCTAATATTTATTCTTCCCTTAAGCAATGAGAGTCGATATAGATATCCTCTCAAGCTTCCTGACCTAGGGTGTTTGACATCCCTATGAATTGGGCCTGAGGAACTTTATCAGCAATTGCTAATGAGGAATCTCCTGCTGTAATAATCTGCATTTGTGTACCCTTTTTTTCTCAGAGTGTATTTTTTACCTGTGTCAATAGACTGGGTACCTCTCGGTCTCTCAAATTTTCGTCATTCATATGAGTGAGTAACCTGTGAGCCTTCAGGGAGATGACGCAGGTAACTTAGGACTACTCATAGAGGTAAAGAGCGTTGGGCCCGGTCCCAGCTACGTTTGAAGACATGTGACACGGTGTGTCTTGCACAGTTTCCCTCCGAGGTGGTTTTTCATCTAAGAAAGTCCTTCCTAGAAGAGAACAGCCTTGGAGAGCCCCAGAGGCTAGAGAACGAGGTTCATTCAGTATCATAAAACAAGTTTAGAAGTTAGGACTAGTTGGATGGTTTCCTCCAAGTACCTAAACAGACGTCGTACTGATGGAGCAAATTCTATTTTAGAGCAGTATGTAAAAATGTCTCCACTTTCTCTCCAAAATAGTTTGAGGAATTCATCTTGGATGCCTGCATGTATCTGCTGGACCAGAGCAAACTCAAGCTAGGCACTCGAAGGGATCCTGTGGCTGTGTCCAGAGCCATGTCTGCTTTGGTATGGCTCCCTTGGGGAAGTACTTTGCCACCCCACCTTCCCCTCCCCCTTCTTATTTGTTCTCCTTTCCCTGGGGCTTTGAACAGTATTTCGGGATGAATCTGAAATGGGTTCCTCTGGGAAACTGCAAGGGAAGAGGCAGAGGCAGTTTTGAGTACAGGGAAGGAACAAGCAAAATAAAGCGTCTCCCCAGCAACACAGCTCACAGCCCCGAGGGCTGCCCTCCTCCAGGAAGCTCGCCTGCGGGACCAACGCAAGGGCTGCGTTTCGTGAGGGAAGCAGCTGCTCTGTGCCGTGGCACCGTTTCTGGGGCTGTGGGGTTTAGGATGCAAAATGCAGGCTGCACCAGCACTGCCCTGAGCAGCAATGCTGTCTCCCACTCTGGATTTCACAGGGCAACCAGCCCTGGCAACCTTGCCGGGGGCCACAGGGCGGGAGGGCACATGGGGAAATGCAGGCTGCGGAGGGACCTTGAGGTTTAAGCCCCTTTCAACCTCATTGCTGAATTTGTCTCCTCTGCGCGTGTGTGCGTCCGTGTGCCACAGGTTAATGCCAATGATGACAGAGGTGTCCTGTTCGGGAACTGGTCAGGGGTGTACACCGGCGGGACCTCCCCTGTGACATGGATCGGGAGTGTCTCAATTCTGCAGCAATATTACAAAAAGAAGAAGTCAGTACGTTATGGTCAGTGTTGGGTCTTCTCAGGAGTCCTCACTACAGGTAAACAGTCAGTTGTCTCCCTTGTAATTATCCTAATTCCCATGCAAATAAACCTAATTACCGCACCCTCCCAGAGCACTGGGGGGACAGGGGAGCCTCTGTCTGCTCTTTGGGCATGATGTTTTGATTGCAGGACTGGAGCATCTCTCATAGGAGGAAAGGCTGAGAGAGCTGGCACTGTTCAGCCAGGAGAAGAGAAGGCCCAGAGGGATCTTATCAATGTGTATAAATGTCTGATGGGTGGGAAATAAAGATGACAGAGCCAGACTCCTCTCGGTGGTGCCCAGTGACAGGATGAGAGGCACTGGGTGCAAATTGAAACCCCAGATAGGTCCATCTCAAGGGAAAAAAACACTTTTTTACTGTGAGGGTGGCTGAGCACTGGACCAGGTTGCCCAGAGAGGATGTGGAGTCTCCTTCGCTGGAGATATTCAAAACCCGCCTGGACGCGATCCTGGGCAATGTGCTCTAGAGGCCCCTGCTTGAGCAGGGAGGTTGGACTAGATGATCTCCAGAGGTCCCTTCCAACCTCAACCATTGTGTGATTCTGTGATTCTGCGAATTTTCACTGGTGCTCTAATGCCTTGGGGCCAAGTATATTCTTACTTTTGAAACTGATCAGTCTAAATAGTACCAGATCCTGAGTAACAGTTAAAATGTAGCTGTCAGACTATAGCTTGTATTAGACTATATACAGCTTATATCAGATTACATATATTAGACCATAATATAAATAAGCCTAGTAAATATGTATACAAAATGTCTTGCAAAGTTTTGACAACATCAAGGTTTTTGGATTTCCTTTCCTTCAGCTCCTCCTTCTGGGCTTTCCTGCAAAAAGAGGGATAAAGGGGAGAGGACGAGACTGCAAGTGGTTGGGTGGGTAACTGATTCTGAGATTCACAAACTACTATTTTATTGCATAGGTCAAAATAGAAGGAACAACAGTCTAAAGAGTTTGGGGGAAGGGAAGAGTGTTTTTATCCAGCTATTTGTCTTGTATACCATCTAAAAATGGTATCCGTATATTCACTTGAAATGCTGTGGGATAGACTGCCTTATACTGCTCTGTTCTGAGCAGAGCTACCAAGATCACTCCTAGAATGAAGAAGCACTACTGAAGGAAGGGGTAGCAAAATGCACTGAAAAACTACATTTATTTCTCAGATTAGAGAACGCCTTGCCTTCCCACGGTATCTCTGTATCCAAAATACTGCCACAAGATAAAAGACATAGACTGCAGTAACTCTTTAGAAGTGCCCTCTGCTGTCTGTAGTAATCTGTTAACACAATTTTTCTAATAGTGAATATACTGAATATGTTCCTATGGTCAAATTTACATAGGTTTTGTTTTATCTGGATTTCCACTCCCTTTCTACTCTCTTCTCATTACTCTGGACAAATGGGAGTTGAGTTTACTGAATTTCAAGAATGCTTTTTTTTCCCCAATAGCATGACACCACAGTTGGGGCCCTCCAGATTGCTCTCAATATTTTCAACGGAAAACTGCCACCATATGCTGCTTGCCACTTTTTTGAGCTCTATCAAGAAAGCAGTGGGCAAGTATCTTCTTATCTATGCAAGAACAAGGAGCATTTGGAATTTTGTTCCTCCCTTCCCTCCTAAAGAATTGTTTTCCCTCAAATATTGTAAGATACAAATCTATTTTAATTGATACTTCACTGAGCAGTCCATAGGCACAATATTATATTATAAACTCTAAAAATTACACTTGTTCTATATGCACATATCTGTGTGCTTTGAAAGACAAGAAGATGAAAACAGGCCTTATCAGCTGGAAATAAGTGGGAAGACAAACTTTCCTGCTTCTTCAGATGATAGCAACAACATTTCCAAGATGACTCATAAATCCCAACGTAAACCAGTTGGCTTATAGGAGCCTGATGCTGTTGCCGTTCAAGGGGCCTTCAGAAAGACCTTTTGACCTGACCATTGACCTGTACAGTCACATAACTGGCTTTGGCAAACTAAGCTTTGCAGACATCTTTCACAAAGCCTCTATTCGGGAAGAACAGGTTCTAGAATAGTATGTGAGAGGCTATTTGCAACATTCTGTCTCTGAGGAGGAAACTACCTATTTAAGAACCTTTTCTTTTTTCAAGTCTTTTCCATGTTGTTAATTAGGCGGTACAGCATTGAAATGCATTATCGGAATGATACCTCAAAGGATCCTTACCTACTGACTCTGCCAGGATGCACCTCTTCTTGTCCACTTGAGAAGTTCGCTGAACTCGTTTCTCCTATGATTGCAGAAAATTGGTCAAAAGAATGCGGGAAGAAAGATAAAATGAAAGGTAGTGTAACAGCTGTGTATTTTCTACATAAGACATGTAAGTAGAAGTTGTATCAATGGCTCCAACTCTGTACCTTTCATACAGAGATTGCTCTCACTTTAAGGGGTTTGGACCAACTTTACCACTGATAGAGAAGGCAGATTTAAGTTAAATTTCTCTGCGAATATATAGGGTAGATTTGCCCACCAGTGTGAAGGCAGTGCTATTATTGGCATAGTCACGTAAGGAGCAACATAAGGACATGGCCAAAACCAGAGCTCCTGTCCCTGGAACTGTCAGACAGAAATATGGATGTGGGCACTATGCAAGGAATCCAGTACCCATTGGATGCATTGGATGTATCCTGTAGATACAAAGCATAAACGGTTTTCATGTGCAGAGTAAAGCTGATACATCTGGACTTCTGGCATGTGTACTATACCTTGAGGATACTTTAGCCTCCACTGTACATGCTCAGTGCAGCTGATCCACACAGATACAGCAGTTATTTGCCTTGGACTACCAACAGCTGACAGAGGCTAACCTTGGCCAACTTCTTCTCCTTCCTGAATATTATTCCCAAGAGGGAGGCGAAAGGCAAGGGAATACATGCCATTTTCCGATAGTCCTGATCTTTCCCTGTTCCTGCACATATTCAGTGTTGTGCTGATCCCTCATGAAACTCCTGGTTTGCATTAACTACACATGAGACGTCACTCTTGCCCTGTGAACACCTAGGGCACGAAGCTATGTACGTGTTCCCAAAACTGAAATATATGTATTTATACTTACTTTTCATAGGTCAGCAAATGCAAGACCACCTGAGCTTGCCAGAAATACAAGCAAAATTTAACTATAAAAGTATTTCCATTGTACATATTTGTCATTAGTTTGTTATCTCTGTATCTAAGATGACATACATTTACTCCTTTCCTTAACACGCTTTTCCTTCACTGTGTTTCCTTCACAGATATATTTATAGGATTTGATGTTGCTGTTGGCTTGCTGTTCATTTTTGACCTTGTATTGCTCTACCTCCTTTATCACTATGGACACTGCAGGCGCAGAAACAATTATCAAGACCTTTAAAGGAGAAGTAAAAGAATGAAAGACAGAGCAGCTACATATTAGGTTTCAGGTTGCTCTCTGTTTATATGCATCAGTTACCTCTTGCCAAATGAATCTCCGAAGCATATTCAATAAACCTGAAGAGGAGAAATATCTGTGGCCTGGTTCCCAAAAGACTAAACATATGCAGTGATAAATACCACAGAAATAAGTTACTGTTAAGAATTTTCTTTAGTAGGAAGAGTGAATTACTCCAGTTTCTATCTTTAAGTTTTCCACTATTATTAATCATTACCAAGTGAACCAGTGGGGACAAGGGGGACTACTACCTATGCATGTTTTTGGTATTGTCCATTACTGTTTATCCCTCTGCTTTTCTCTTCCCCTGCTCAGGGTCTTTCTTGAAAATCACAGTCCATAGTGTTTTTCTCAACTTTTTACAAATGGCTATTTCGTTGATGTGCAGGAATACGTTTTCAGTAAACAAAAGCTGCAATTATTGTGTGAAAAAGACTTGTACCAATACTTGGATGTACAGTTTCTGCATTTATTCACGCAAATCTATGCATGAGTTTTGACCTTAGCCTCCAGAGAGTAAAAGGTGTTAGCCTCTTTTTCAAAGGAGCTATGCTACCACAGCTCTCATTGAAATCAGTAGAAACTGGGGTGCTCTGTCACATATCCAGGCATCAAGCAAGAAGTTTTGTGCACCAGGATCTTGGTCAGGGCCCAGAGTTTCAATAACATGGATAAGTAAATACATTTAAATCTCTTTTCTGTTGCTATACTTCTTTCCTGTTATTCTGAGCCCCCAGTCATGACCGATGCTTTGTCTTGCATCTGTTCTAGGATTCCACGAGTGCCTCCGTCCTGCTTCGGGTCCTTGCTATAACCTCAGTTCTTTGAGCCACTCTTAGAATGATTCCTCCAGCTATAGCTCTGCTCATCACCTTTCATTTTAATATACAATATCTCCTTGCTCTACTCAATATTGCTCTAAGACATGCACTGAAAGTAAGAAGACAGTGATTCTACTTTTTGTATGTTGATTTCTTCTGTGAACCATATTTTGTTTGTTTAGATTGCAAGCTCCTAAGGGCAGGGAATGTGTTTCCATAATAGTCTCTACTATCATAAACTAGTATCGTAATACTGATATTGCTGTATAAAATACCATTTATCATCATAAGCTTCAAGGAGTGCAAGACTTTTATCCTGTAGTCCTGTAGAGGATACTGTGAATCACATTCCTCTGGAGAAGCCTTTTCTAAAATCAAGACATCTACACAGGTGCCAACAGCTGCTTCAGCCAGACAGATACAATGAGCAATAGTGTGCTCAAGCTAATGAGTCCAATTGAGGTACAGAAGTCTAGAGAAACCTGAGAGATGGAGCTGGTTAGCTCAGGCACAGAATCACACCAGTGTGGATACACTGCTTCTCGACTGACTTTGGCTCACATCTGTGGCTTGCAGCTTGGAGCACAGGAGCTTGGGTCAGCTAGCATTCATCTACAGAGACCTGTCCTCAATCTCCGCAAGTGCTGCTCCATTTACAGTTCTTGTAATTGCCACGGAAATGTTCTCAGAAGGCTACAGATTTATGCCCCTTCTCACCATTGCAGCAACTTCATTAGCACTTCTGCTTGAATGGAAGGAAAATCTGATCTGTGTCCTGTTTCAGAATGCAACTATGCAGGAGTAAACAGGACCCACCATTACTTGAATATACCCAAGGACTGCAGTCCTGTATCATCCTTACACCATCACTACACAGTGAACCTTCCTGTGCGTCTTCCACAGACCAAAGTGACCTCACAGAATCACTGCCTCAGAGCACATGGAGGCATCAGTGAAGCACCCAGATACTACAGCCATGAATGCATATAAATGCGATCCAATTAGATGCCTGGATACTAAACAGCATAAGTCAAATGGAATAGCAAAGAATTGTGGGAATATAGCAAGCACCTTTCCAAGCATCATTGCCAGCTTCAGACACTGAGGTGTCCAGCTTTTGAAGCAGTGTCTCCCACTCAGTAACAAGCTCTTACTAGTATCCCTGACATATCCATTATATATATTTTGAGAAATGTCATAATCAAATAATAGATTTGATTCCTCCATGGTAAGGATGTTTTCCTGTGTAATGGTTGGGGCAAAGCTGTCAAAAAGATAAAAGGCTATCCTTAACTCAAATGTTTTGGCTGTACCTGCTTCACAGATTGCAACTAGCAGTTCTGATCCTATGTGCAAAAACTTAACTGCAGTTAAAAGTGTTATAGCAGCTCTAGGAAATAAGCCTGAACTGATTTGGTTACTGTTAGCAGTATACTCATAGCAGGGCACAGCTCAGCACAAACTGCAAAACTGAATCTGGCTCCTGTATGCATACATCCAGTGGCTTCCTCATGCTAGGCCCTCTATTACCATAGCCACACTGCTGCTGATACTCACTTAAACCGAGACTGGCTATGTTTTTATTAGAGGCAATCAGATGCTTGACAAGTGAAGATATATCATTGATTGATAATGTGTAGTAAGAACTGTTTTTGAGAAATTAGAAAGTCCATTAGTGGCACTACACAAGAAGCAGAAGGGAGCATATTTTTCCAAGATTGCTTCTTACAAAAAGAAGTACACCTAGACAGAAAGCAAAATCTTTTGTGATTTTTGATATAACTTTTGTGGCTTACGCTACTTAAGTCTAAGCTGTTACAGAGAATTTCAGGATATGTAGCAATTCCAGTTGCAGCAGGTGCTGTCATGAAGTAATTTTATTGTAGGGACACCTTTTTATTAACAGAAGTCATATTTGAAAATGTCCATGTACCTTTAGAGAGGATCCAGTGAACACAGATTACATGAAATGTAATGATAGGTTCAGATGTTGTAACTTCAGAACTAACATTGTGATGACAAAAGACAAAGATGTGATATATTAGTAATGTAGGCCCTGAATCTCATTTATAGTAAAGACTCTTTGCCTTACTCTGATTAAATCAAGTATAGTTTCCCTGGTGTTGTGAAAGGTTGTGAGTGTCAGACATGCTAGCGGCCCTTTTCATTTTCTAGTCATATTTGCAATTTGCTCATTATAATCTGCAGACTGTTTGTGACTAGAAAATACATTGTCCCCCCAAACTTGTAACTCCGTAAAAAACCCTAAAGAAACAATACAGAATTTGTAATTATATTTGAGCGAATAATAACAGAGCTTTCAGTATGCCTATAGTTTCCAAGCAAAAATTAATGTTCAGATTTACTCCTTCTCAAAGAACAGATTTTCAAGACACTGTTGATTTGACTTTAGTAGGGCTGATGACACCAAGCTTTTCCATTTGCCCTTTGGGAATGTCATCATCTGCCTCTACTATAACTATGGTAGCAACTAGAAGCTCTGTGACAGGGTTTACCAGAGCATATGGCAGACAGAAATGCATACACAGCACTTTCCAACTCAGTCAGCAACTACCTTCTCTTACCGAATTGATTTCATTCTGGAGCTTGTTAATTCACGGACCTGAATATTGCACACACTGGGACAGCAAGCATAGCTATCTGACTTCCAGGATAATAGTGGCTCACTCTGGAGCACTCAGGTTCACCTGTACCTGTCAATGTAGGGACACTCGATCCAAATGATACTATTTAATAACATTTTCTCAGGTGTGGTAATATACAGCAAATAAAATTACAATTACACTGTATTAAAAAAAAAAAAACAGTTCAGTCAAAAAATCTTGAATAAGTATTAAAACTCAAAAGACAAAAGCTATGTTTCTGTGTTTTCTCCATACACAAAAAAAGGCTAGAAGTTCTACTCTATAAAGAAGAAGAAATATTGACAGCGATAGAGTCTGAGATTGATAATGAGGTTAGATGCTGGTTTATTCTGAGGCATATATAATCTTGGCCTTTAGGGAATCCATGTAGAGGTGATCTCAGTAATATTGTATAGCATTGCATTCTCGGCATGAAATGCCTGCTTTACTGACAAGCATTTCTTGTCAGTAAAGATGCGGAAGAAAGGTGGACATTCACCTACAGAGGGCTACTTTATTGATTTATTCTATAATGCTTCTTCATCGTAAGTTGCCACGTATTAACACTCAAACAAATAAAATGAGTCGCTAGTGAAATAACAGCAAACCCTTTGAACAATTATATTACAAGGTCTCTTCTATGACTAGGCAACTTCACTTCCAGAGGGATTCTAACACTTGCAAGGCCTGCAAGACAACAGCTAAGACGTCAGATACAATTTCGAAAGTCATTTAAAAAGACATGTCCAAAGTCCAGTTGTGCTAATTTCTATAATTTCTCCTGAAGGAGAGCAATGCCACTACTTCCTCTGCTGTTACTCATAGGACATTGTCAGATTCATCCTTCCTGTAGACTGAGATTCCAGTGTTCTTTTAAAAAAATTTCTGGGGACAGGAAAGATATCATTTACCTTGCAGAAAGTTCAAAACAGATAGTGGCAAAAGAAAATGGTCCTGGCTCTAGTTCTCTTTTTCTATATTTAGTAGGAGCTATGTCAAGAAAAGGTAATCAGTCTTGTGTCCTGGCTATGGCAGCTAAAACTATCTTCTTCTTCCTATGGGGAGCCCTTGATTTCAATAGACATATCAATTCTGGTAGCTCATCTGTCCTCTAAAGTACAGAAAAAGTTGTAAGACACAGAATGACGATAAAGCCTTTTCTCTAGTAAGATGGGAATTAAAAGGATATAAGGACTAGCCAAAATGTAACTTAATGCCCAAACAGGCAAGTCCTCCGTTCTCTAAAACACTAGTCCAGAGAGCATGTGGATCAACAAGTACAAGCAACCTGGCAAGACGGTAAATCCATCAGGAGTAGCTCCCACAGCTACAGAACTGACTGAGGACATTTCCAGCACTTTTTGGAAGCTGAGCTCCTCCATTCTCTCACTTCTGAGGCATTCTCAGAGCTTCTCCTGGCTGCTCCTCAGGAAGCAGCAAGAGCTGAAGCAGATCTGAAGCCTACTTTTTGTTCAGAAGTTTTGAACCACATGCACTTAAGATGAAAAGGGATGTGATTAATACATTACTATTTTTTGTTCCACAATTTCTTCACTTGTGAAATTAATACAAATGCACTATAAAGGCCACCTCCTCCAGGGCAGAAGAAAAGAGTGAAAGGAGCCATTCAAACAGAGCGTGTTACACCAGTAGAAAAATGAGACTGTGTGTTACTGACAGAAGCAGCCCTTCATGAGAATCTTGTGTAGCCTCTGTAATATCATTGTGGGAGACAGCTGATCAATCTATTTGTGCACAGCAAGCAAAGAGGAGGACTCCTCTTTTCTTGGTAACGGAAGATTCGGATCTATAAACACCTTGGTTTCTAAGTTAAGACCCTTTAAATAAGCACAGGAAAATCTCTTTCTGCCAAATGAAAGCCTAATTTTCACTTCACTGTTTGGAAGGATGGGATTGGCAAAGAGAAGCTAGATTAAGCTGCACTGTGTAGAGGGTGGCCAATCTCCAGAACAGTTATTAAACTGTCTTCTCTCGCACGGCTATTTGCTTTCATCTCTGAACCACTGATAGGATGGAGGTGAAGGACAACAAATATATTAAACTGCACTGAGTAATATGAGTTGCTCTGGCTTACCCTGGCCTGTTTTAACCATTGAAACTAATTGGGTCACACATGGGAACAGAATAGGTCTTGTAATCCCCTCAACTCTTCATTCTAACCACTACACTGAACCTCAGTGTGTGCACCAAAGCATAGTCTCTGTCAATGTATATCTCCCCCTTTTCTGAGCACACATTTAGGAATACCAATACTGTAAAAAATCCACTACCTGAATTGCAGCTGTCTTTTTTGGTCTGGTTGATGTTATATTATGCTTTGAAAACCAGTTCTCTGCAAGGAATTCACATTCTCCATCATGAAATGCTGTTGTCATTAATGACTGTCTCACTTCATCCTTAAGAGAAATTCCATTTTCTGCAGAATTGCAGGCAAGTATACAGCGAGTAGTACAATTACTTAATAATTATTTACTAGATGCTTCAGACAAGTATGTCTGAACAAAATGCCAGGAGATTCTCATAAACATAGCATATATTATCAAAAGCAGATTAAGGGCTCTAAGCAAACTTTCTTCTATACTGGAATGAAGTAACTGCCACTTTAGGGAGTGCCAAAGCACTCTAACTCTTCCT